TCGATGTCTGGTTGTCAGCGGCGCATTTGGAGGGGAGGGGGGACAGAAGAACAACGTGTCGCGCCGCGAACTCGCCTGTTGTCGTCGTCTTCGCCTTCGTGTTGTGCCATCGTGTCTCTTCGTTGACGCGTCTCTTCTTTGCAGAATAGTCTTCGAGTACAAAAGGCTAGCAGGAAAATGCCGCCGAGCGTTGTGGGCTATCCGACCAACTGGGGAATAGGCGTGCCGATCGTTCGATATCCACCCCCGTTCGCGCAGTATTACGGAAGTTACCAGTCTAATAACACCTTGGTAAGTTTGTTTCTTCACTTTCGGGCCAGCCAATGAAGTTTACGAAAACTTTGTACGGCCGGGCATAGACGATCAACAGCAAATGCTTTTTTGACGCGGTGCTGTGATGGCTGACCCTGGGTCATTGCATTCTTTCGTATGTTCAATCTTGCCACACATGGTGACGATCAACGGTTCAATATACTGTATTAGTAATAAGGGATAATAAGGCCATTTTATGGCAATTTTGGGTCGTGTCGAATTCCGGACGGTTGGCGATTGGGTTCACCAAATTTCTCCGTTTGGACGCTGGTGGGAGTGGGGTAATGCGCAGTGGTTAATATTTTTGTTTTGCATTTCATACGTATAAGGTTAAAATCCAATGCGCGACACGTCTTACTAAGTTTTAATTCCGTTGAACGAGGAATTTACGATCCTGTGCCACCAGCTGATCAACAGGTACCTAGTCGATCTCGTATAGATGACAAGAATACCATGGTGTTCAATTATAGTCATGTCAGAGCGTGCCATACGTATATACAACATTTTACAACTGCACAGTTACCTGCATATTGGACAACCAGTAGCCAATTTACTATCTCCTGGTGTGATACTGAAGCTTTCAATTGCTTTCATTGCAAGATAGACCTGGACAGTGAGGTCTGTCACCTTACCAGGAATGGCTGTACCGGTCAGTAATACAGAATAGAACCTACCTCTTGAAATGAAAGAAATTATAACCTAAATCTTGGAGTTGTATGCATAATTATACTGTTTACATTATTGGTCGCTGGTGTAACTTATTACCACATTCATATGAAATCCCTATTATTAGTACATAAGGCCACGCTATCTGATGCTTGTACCCTATGGCTGCAGTCTGTGTGATGGCTGACTTAAAATTATAATCAGCACAGCTTGTAAATTACACGTTACGTTTCATATCCAGGTCTTTTTTCTCTGTTTGTTTATGCGAGTCTACTTTCGTATTCTTGCCACTTAACTTAAAGAATAACATTTGTTCATAAATTGAACATTTGCAGATTGACGAACCATTCTGTGGTCGAAGAACCTTCCGTCGAAAGTCAGGCTGTGGCCTGCCTACCACTTTTCCCTGATCGGTTGTCGACTGGTCAAACAGTTAGTGCTCGTTTAATGACTGCCAATGAGATATTCAGCTAATCAACCAGAACTCTTTGATGTGAATGGATAAATATTTTATGGCTTGAATATACAGAATACGGTCACATCTTTTTGCAGCACCAAAGAACAACAGTCAAAAATAAGCGAAGCAGGTACATTTTAAACGTAGGAAATAAAGTAGTTGTTAATACTGTGTAAGCGATGATGGATGCTTCGTTACTCGTGCGGAGACGCAATGGCTGAAATTTGTCACATTTCTGTCCGACACCACAAGTT